ACCCGAACACCCAATGTTATATTAATAAAAATAGTCAATTGTTTTGATAAGAAATTTGTATTATGTATTAAAACTTTTGTAGGTTATAAGCAAAATTACAGAATAAAGTACGGTAATTACTAATTATACACGAAACTTAAATGTTAAAAAAGATTTGATTTTTTAATTTAAAATAAACATTTGAATTATTTATGAAACTATGGGTTTAAAGTTAATTATTAATTCTCTTATGAAAAAAGTTTGTCTGATTTCATTACAAACGAAAATAAATTTGTAAAAACTTTTTGGAATTTTTAAAATAACAAAAATACTGATATATTCCGGTCTTTGAGATACTTTTTAGTCACATTTGACTTTAAATTGAGAATTAGATTAGTTTGCTGTCTTCGATGTGTTTGTGATCAATGAAATACATATTCTTATTGAATGTGAAGGGAATGTCGGGATAAACAGTCACTTTCTGCGCGTTTCGCAGATTCTTGTAAATGTCGGCCACTTTGAGCAAATCCGATATACAGGGTCTCATCCGGTGTTGGAGTTCCAACTGTTCAAATGGCATACCATTGCTGACCATACGCTCGAACAGAGATATATCCATATTGTAATTGTCGGTCAATTCGCGAACATTAGTGATGGGCCGCAACTGCTTGTGATCGCCGACGAGAATCACGTGCTCGACGCGCGTCGGAAACGAGGCCACGACGTGTCCCTCAAGCACTTCGGCCGCCTCTTCGATAATCATTATCTGCGGGTCAAACGCCTCAACCAATTCGCGGTGTTTAGCGGCGCCGGTAATCGTGAGGCCAATCACTTGGGCCTCATTGCACAGCAATCGCCGACACAAAGCGTTCGCTGTATTGTATTTCTCGGTCTCCTCTTTCAATGTGAGCCGCAATTCGGCGACTCTTCCCTGCATTCGGCTGAAGAAGTTTTCCCTCCAATACGCGTACAAAAGCAACCGCTGTTTGGCTCCCAAGTCATGGATATCAGTCTCCAGACCCGTCTCCTTATCGCGGATCTCCTGCTCACGGAAGACGTCAATTATCTGATCAAACAATTGATTCCGTGTCACGCGTTTCGCCAGTTTTGACGCATCAAACGCTCCGCTCCCGTCAGTCAACCAATCGAGTACTGGATTCTCAGACTCTTGAGCGTCGAAATAGTGGACAAATTTACTATTCTTCGGCTGAATACATGGCTGAATCAGTTGGTAGTCAAGTACTTCGTAAAAGCTTTTCTTGATTATCTCCAAATTCTCGGTAATATTAAAGCTAATGCCTGTCATTCTTCTGTGATATTTGTCACGTTTTTGGCGCGCTTTCATTAACAAGATATCCAACCGTCGGTTTCCTATTTGATATCCACTATCAATGAGTTGTTCCACAAATGGAGGTTTGAATTGTTGTCGATATCTCTCTTCAATGTCCCCGAGTTTGAAGTGTTTAAGCGCTTCGCTCTCGCTTTTGCCCCCAATTCTCACTACATTTTGGTTAAACTTTGTAATGCCTTCGAGAAACTGATCCAAAGCGTGATTCTTGTAGCAAACAATGAGTATCGGTCGCCGATCGCCGCTCGGATTCCAGACCACTTCGTTGTCGAGCAAACACTTGACAATCTTGAGGCCCACGAATGTCTTGCCAGTGCCGGGCGGGCCTTGAATTACAGCAAACTCTTTGGTCAGCGCCGCGTAAAACGCCTCAAACTGTTGCACATCGAAAATGGATGCCTTCTTAGCCATTGCTTTATGGTCTGAATTTAGTAATTCAACTGAAGATAAAGGGTTCGGATTTGTGGCCGATTGAGTGTCCGCTTCGGGCGGCGAAGTGTTGGGTGCGATACATGTCATGTCATAACAGGTGTCGTCTGTCAGATAAGGCGGTGGTTTGAGATTTCTGGACAGATCGACAATATATGCCTTGAATGGGAACTCTTGTGGCATTGTCTGCAGTTTAGACAGTGAGTGAACCATTCCCTCCAAATAGCACAGAGACTCGACGGCCACGTAATTGGTCTTCGGATTCAACGCGATGTCAAACAACTGCCGGCACTCGTTGTCATCCAAATCCACTTCGAGACTGAAATCCCAAATGCGATTCCCGAAGCGGTCCATAACGTTGAGACGACTGCCGCTCACAACGCCTAATATCAACGACTTCTGGAAGCCGTCACACGACAGGCAAACCAGTGATCCCTCCAGAAGTCGCGGACAGTCCTAAAGAGTGGGACCGAAAAAAAGTCTTATTTCGGGCACAAATAGGGACACAATTAGGAGTAAATTGCCTGCAAATCGACGCTCTCTAAGGACTGGTGATCAAAGGTAAACCTCAAGACAGGTCCGTGTCGTCGATCGATACACTTGTCGTCCCAATCGGCGACCAATCGGACGCTGAAGTACACGTTTGATTGGATGTCGCGATCGTTGTCCACCCTTTCCTTCGGTGTGCGGCCGTCGCCGGCGGTCGACAACACTTTGGCCAATCGGGTCACGTCCTCAACGAGCGGACGGACCAACTCTTCGCGCAATAACGCGAACTGAGTGTCCAAATAGTGATCGGTGTTGTCGTACGGCTCGCGGATCAGATTGGGTGACAGCGGCGGTGTCTCCCGGCGCCGGATGTCGGCCACCGTTGTGTGTGTTGTCTGTCGTCGACATGACTTTGGTCTGTCATCTGATCCGTCATTCATTGGTCCCGAAGAAGTGCTTAAGTGATGGTTGTCTTCGCGTTTTGTCGTCTCTTGTGTTTTGTTGACATTCAATAAACAGACGGTTCGTGTGATTATCGCTCAGACATAACGTCCGGTAATATTAAGTTTCAAACTTTTTGCACACATTTAGCACTTGTTTTATGTTTGAAAACTTATAATTAGTGAATATATGAGAGAAAGATTGGGACAAATGCTTACTTGTTTGCCAATTAATCTTATTTATTTGATCCATGATGGTTAAATGTCAATTTAAGTGAATAAGCTTACGGTAAAAGTTAAGATTCACTCTAATATTAGTTATTGATTGAGTTTAATGTGTTTATTAATGGGAGAATAGCGTAACGATGGGAGTGCACGACAATAGAATGAGCATGGTCGTTGGCAAATGTATACAAATCTAGTCTAAATACGATTAGAATTCTTGTGTACACTAATTATTAATTAGTAATGATTAATATCTGACTTTTAGTTAAACACCGAATTAATTAATAAAATTTAAGGTTTAACAAACCATACAGTTTTATACCTATTATGAAATACAATTATAAGTTATAATTTATAACATTTCATTAGACTTTTGAATTATTTATACATTAATTTCGTTACAATTGACTGAAAGTCTATTATTTTTCAAAACAATTTTACAATTATTTGTAAGAATGTTTGAATTATTAATAAATTTATTTACACATCAATTTTGGAGTTTATTCACAGACTGTACTAAAAAGTGCATGGTCGTTAAATAATTTGATTGTGGTCATTTTAATTTACTGTAAGGTTAACATAAATTGAACTACAGTATGCAGGAACATTTTACTATCTACACTGTAGATTCTACAGTATACAATATGTAATTTTATTAATCCATTGTCACTATATTTATCAAAATTAAGCTACATGTATAATCGGGGATATTCTTAAACATTGAACTTTAATGATCTTAAATATAAGTTTTGTAATATTTATACAATTATTCAATAGACCGCTCTTTAATTAATTAAAAATGATAAATTAATATGTTAGTAACTTTATTTCAATAATGGAATTAATTCCTATTATTGTACTAAATATGTAATATCTAACTAAAAAGAATTGAAAATATTAAATAGGTAACATGTTTTAACATTAGATATGGTGGTTGGCACCAGTTCTGCCAGTTTGCCAACCCCACTGCCCACTATTTTATAAAATTTAAATATACAAAAAAATTATTTTTTACTCGAAAATATTTACTGATTAATTAATGAGTTTTATGAAAACAGATGTATATTTCACACAACGCTTTCATTAAAAGTGCATTTTAAAGACCGACAACCAAATTGTGTATTAAATAGATTTTATTACACCTAAATGCACTAAAAATACTCAAAATGTCCAGGAGTGCAGCATTATTGGAAACTACATATTAATTAATTCATTCAATTTGACATGGTATACCTGTATTAATGCCTTTATATGATAGTAATATTTTACACATGAGATTTTGCAAAATAAATTTATATTTAAATTACATTAATGTCAAACAAACATAATTGCAATACAATAACGTAATATTATAATATAATGTTAATACAATGGGTTCTTGTTAATGAATCTAAAAATAATTATAACATAGGATTTTTCATTAATTATTTCACAGTGCGTTAAATTAAAAGATATGCTTTTATTATAAATAGCTAATTAATTGTGTATTTATATCGATGTTATTAAAAGTTATTCAAATTAGTGTTATTACAAAAGAAAACAACAAAACAAATGCCAGAATATTCACTATAAAAGGTATATATAAGAGAATATTCTTTAAGAAAAAATATTATTTATTTAATAGTCGAGTGTTTGGTTTACGAGTATTAGCATAAATTTTACTATAACTAATATTATAAGACCACGTATTTATAAACAACATATTAAATATTGAACATCACTTTAGTTAAACATATATTCCTTAACATTTTTGAATAATTAATACACACAAAAAACTATCGCTAAATACCAGAGTCTACGCAAATTCACTCCGAGCTCTGGTTAACCGTATTATTGGCCAACACTTGAGCTTTGGATTAAGGTTTGTGTGATTTATAAAAACTATGTTTTGTTTTTAAAACATCTCATTATTTAAATAAGTTTTGGTAAAAATTATTTGTTGTCTATGAAGGAATCGATTGTCTAAATCTCTATTATATTTTCTTATCTATTGTTTTGTTAGTAAGTATTAGTTTACTAAAAGTTTGTTAGAAGTTTAATTTAAAATCAATTTTCACAACTGTTTTGAATTTATTTTGAATGATTAGAAAATGAATGATTTGGTGAAACTGTTGGCGGCGTTTGTGGTGTTGGTTGTGATCCAAGTGTCCAAACAAGAGGACGAGTCGACACTCATTGCATCGGATTGTATGCGATGTCAGGCAATGGAGAGACAGTGCGCGGCAGTACTGGTGGACAAGCGGTCTCAGCGATGGTAAGCCCAGCGAAGAGCGTCTGTACGCCGACATCGACGCCGCCCTCTCGACGGTCATGTATTTGTATGACATTCAGCCCAAAGACATTGTGCTCTTTGGCGAGAGTATCGGTTCCGCGCCGACCATCGATCTGTCCACTCGACTCCAGTTTAAGGGCGTTATACTCGAGTCGCCAATCATTTCAGGTCTGCGAACAATGTTTGGCGATTACGCCACCAGATTGTGGTCATTCGATCCGTTCCCGAACCTTAAGAAAGCCAACAAAATTCAGTGCAAAGTTCTTATATTTCACGGAACCAGAGATGAATTGGTGGACATTGAAGACGCGATACTACTCTACAACCGATGCCCGCATAAAGTGGACCCGTTTTGGGCCGCAGATATGGGACACAATGAAGTCAAACTGCATCCACAATATTATAGTAGAATTAATACATTTATAAATGAATTAAAATGAAAATATTTATCAACTTTTTTTTAATGTGAACTAATGTTCACTAAATAGTATTCAAATTCAATATAAAATTAAAAAATATTAAAAGCGATTTGTTTGACGAGAAAAATCACAATTGCTTTCAAAATGCAAAACTTTGTGTCAAAAAGTGTAACGTTAATAAAATAAAATGTATTAAACATAATGTGATTTTATATATCAGATATGGTTTTGTGTTTTAGGAATCAATTTTATGGCTGAAATGCAAACAAATTGTTTGGATTTCTTATGACTATATTGTAATCCAATAGTGATTTTAATTGCACTGAAATTAAAAGACAATAATTGCCGCCAAATGTGCGAATCGAGTGCATTAACAAAGACAATGACATTCAACCGACGACACCATTCATAAGCATACGATCATTGGTATGGCATTTGCAGCGGCCGTTCTTGATCTGCAGATTCAACAGTTCCAACTGACCGGGCATTTGGATGTCCTGCTCTCCCGTACACTCGCATCCGATCACAAACTCCTCATCGAAGCACCGATTGGACCGCAAATGTGTGACCAATTTCTCCCACATAACCGACTCGTTGGCCATTGTCTGGAAATTGCCGACACAGAAGAGGCCGTGTCGGGCGCGAGACAGGCGATGCAAGTGGGCTAAGTATAACAGGTCTTTCGGCTACGAAGGGTAAAACGACGAGGCCTGTTTGCTATACTATTACTATAGCAAGAGAAGCGGGACTTTCGGCAGGTGTCTTGACTGAGCATGAATGAGCTCCGGCTTAATCTCTTTGCCGTCGTCTCTCTTGGGTGCGATCGGATCCACTTCGACCTCTTTGACAAACACGTCCCTCTCGTCGAACATAAGTTTCTTAATGATCGTCAACTGAGCGTTATATGTGGTCAACACTGTTATGTTGGCCGCGGGATAGCCGTGTAGTAGAAAGTACTTGACTAACTCGACCACGAGTTTCGCTTCGTGTGGATTGGAGCGACTCTTGTCGAGCACTTGACGGCTATTAAACGACAGAAGCTACACAAACACTAGTTACTTTATGTATAAGAATAACTTACACTTCCCTTACAGCCCTATTTGTCAGTGAAAGACGCGCAAAGCGTCTAAGAACATTTACAGCCGGTGAAACTCGTGATCCGATATACAGGGTCTCATCCGGTGTTGGAGTTCCAACTGTTCAAATGGCATACCATTGCTGACCATCCGCTCGAACAGAGATATATCCATATTATAATTGTCGGTCAATTCGCGAACATTAGTGATGGGCCGCAACTGCTTGTGATCGCCGACCAGAATCACGTGCTCGACGCGCGTCGGGAACGAGGCCACGACATGTCCCTCAAGCACTTCGGCCGCCTCTTCGATAATCATTATCTGCGGATTGAAGGCCTCAACCAATTCGCGGTGTTTAGCGGCGCCGGTAATCGTGAGGCCAATCACTTGGGCCTCATTGCACAGCAATCGGCGGCACAAAGCGTTCGCTGTATTGTATTTCTCGGTCTCCTCTTTCAATGTGTGCCGCAATTCGGCGACTCTTCCCTGCATTCGGCTGAAGAAGTTTTCCCTCCAATACGCGTACAAAAGCAACCGCTGTTTGGCTCCCAAGTCATGGATATCAGTCTCCAGACCCGTCTCCTTATCGCGGATCTCCTGCTCACGGAAGACGTCAATTATCTGATCAAACAATTGATTCCTTGTCACGCGTTTCGCCAGTTTTGACGAATCAAACGCTCCGCTCCCGTCAGTCAGCCAATCGAGTACTGGATTCTCAGACTCTTGAGCGTCGAAATAGTGAACAAATTTACTATTCTTTGGCTGAATAAATGGCTGAATCAGTTGGTAGTCGAGTACTTCGTAAAAGCTTTTCTTGATTGTCTCCAAATTCTCGGTAATATTAAAGCTAATGCCTGTCATTCTTCTGTGATATTTGTCACGTTTTTGGCGCGCTTTCATTAACAAGAGATCCAACCGTCGGTTTCCTATTTGATATCCACTATCAATGAGTTGTTCCACAAATGGAGGTTTGAATTGTTGTCGATATCTCTCTTCAATGTCCCCGAGTTTAAAGTGTTTAAGCGCTTCGCTCTCGCTTTTGCCCCCAATTCTCACTACATTTTGGTTAAACTTTGTAATGCCTTCGAGAAACTGATCCAAAGCGTGATTCTTGTAGCAAACAATGAGAATCGGTCGCCGATCACCGCTCGGATTCCAGACCACTTCGTTGTCGAGCAAACACTTGACAATCTTGAGGCCAACGAATGTCTTGCCAGTGCCGGGCGGGCCCTGAATTACCGCAAACTCTTTGGTCAGCGCCGCGTAAAACGCCTCAAACTGTTGCACATCGAAAATGGATGCCTTCTTAGCCATTGCTTTGTGATCTGAATTTAATAATTGAACTGAAGATAAAGGGTTCGGATTTGTGGCCGATTGAGTGTCCGCTTCGGGAGGCGAAGTGTTGGGTGCGATACATGTCATGTCATAACAGGTGTCGTCTGTCAGATAAGGCGGTGGTTTGAGATTTCTGGACAGATCGACAATATAGCTCTTGAATGGGAACTCTTGTGGCATTGTCTGCAGTTTGGACAGCGAGTGAACCATTCCCTCCAAATAGCACAGAGACTCGACGGCCACGTAATTGGTCTTCGGATTCAACGCGATGTCAAACAACTGCCGGCACTCGTTGTCATCCAAATCCATTTCGAGACTGAAATCCCAAATGCGATTCCCGAAGCGGTCCATAACATTGATACGACTGCCGCTCACAACGCCTAATATCAACGACTTCTGGAAGCCATCAGATGACAGGCAAACCAGTGATCCCTCCATAAGTCGCGGACAGTCCTAAAGAGTGGGACCGAAAAAATTGTGTTATTTAGGGCACAAATAGGGACACAATTACGAGTCAATTGCCTGCAAATCGACGCTCTCTAAGGACTGATGATCAAAGGTAAACCTCAAGACAGGTCCGTGTCGTCGATCGATACACTTGTCGTCCCAATCGGCGACCAATCGGACGCTGAAGTACACGTTTGATTGGATGTCGCGATCGTTGTCCACCCTTTCCTTCGGTGTGCGGCCGTCGCCGGCGGTCGACAACACTTTGGTCAATCGGGTCACGTCCTCAACGAGCGGACGGACCAACTCTTCGCGCAATAACGCGAACTGAGTGTCCAAATAGTGATCGGTGTTGTCGTACGGCTCGCGGATCAGATTGGGTGACAGCGGCGGAGTCTCCCGGCGTCTGATGTCGGCCACCGTTGTGTGGGTTGTCTGTCGTCGACATGACTTCGGTCTGTCATCTGATCCGTCATTCATTGGTCCCGAAGAAGTGCTGAAGTGATGGTTGTCTTCGCGTTTTGTCGTCTCTTGCGTTTTGTTGACATTCAATAAACAGACGATTCGTGTGATTATCGCTCAGACATAACGTCCGGAAATATTAAGTTTCAAACTTTTTGCACACATTTAGCACTTGTTTTATGTTTGAAAACTTATAATTTAGTGAATTTATGAGTGAAAGAGTGGCACAAATGCTAACTTGTTTGCTAATTAATCATATTTATTTTATCTATGTTGTTTAAATGTCAAACTAAGTGAATTAGCTTATGGTAAAAGTTAAGATTCACTCTAATATTAGTTATTGATTGAGTTTAATGTGTTTATTAATGGGAGAATAGCGTAACGAAGGGAGTGCACGGCAATAGAATGAGCATGGTCTTTGGCAAATGTATACAAATCTAGCCTGAATCCGGTTAGAATTATTGTGTACCCTAATTATTAATTAGTAATGATTAATATTTGACTTTTAATCAAACACAGAATTAATAAATTAATTGTAAGGTTTAACAAATAATACAGTTTTATACCTATTATGAAATACAATTATAACATTTCATTAGACTTTTGAATTATTTATACATTAATTTCGTTACAATTGTCTGCAAGTCTATTATTTCTCTAAACAATTTCACATTTATTTGTAAGAATGTTTGAATTATTTATAAATTTGTTTACACGTCAATTTCCAATAAGCGTGACTGTACTAAAAAGTGCATGGTTGTGGAATAATTTTATTGTGGTCATTTTAATTTACTGTAAGGTTATCATAATTTGAACCCCAGTATGCAGGAATATTTTACTATCTACACTGTATACAATATGTATATAATAGATTCTACAGTATACAATATGTAATTTTATTAATCCATTGTTACTATATTTATCAAAATTAAGTTACATGTATAATGGAGGATATTCTTAAACATTGAACTTCAATGATCTTAAATATAAGTTTTGTAATATTTATAAGATTTAAATAACTGTTGCATAAAATCGCATTAATATTTCAATAGACCCACAGTTAGATCGCTCTTTAATTAAGAGGCAATTAAAAATGACAAATTAATATGTTGGTAACTTTATTTTAATAATGGAATTAATTCCTATTATTGTACTAAATATATCATATTTAACTTAAGAATTGAAAATATTGAATAGGTAACATGTTTTAACATTAGATATGGTGGTGGGCACCAGTCCTACCAGTTTGCCAACCCCACTGTCCACTGTTTGCGATTGATTTATAAAATTTAAATATTCAAGAAATTATTGTTTACTCAAAAAAGTTACTGATTAATTAATGAGTTTTATAAAAACAGATGTATATTTCACACAACGGTTTCATTAAAAGTGCATTTTAAAGACAGACAACTAAATTGTGTATTAAATAGATTTTATTGCACCTAAAAATGCACTAAAAATACTCAAAATGTCGAGGAGTGCAGTATTATTGGAAACTACATATTAATTCTTTATATTTGATACGGTATACCTGTATTAATGCCTTTATATAATAGTAATATTTTACACATGAGATTTATATTTAAATTACATTAATGTCAAGCAGACATAATTGCGGTACAATATAATGTAATGTCAATACAATAGGTTCTTGCAAATGAGTCTAAAAATAATTATAACATAGGATTTTTCATTAAATATTTCACAGTGCGTTAAATTAAAAGATATGCTTTCATTATAAATAGCTAATTAATTGTGTATTTATATCGATGTTATTAAAAGTTATTCAAATTAGTGTTATTACAAAAGAAAACAACAAAACAAATGCCAGAATATTCGCTATAAAAGGTATATATAAGAGAATATTCTTTAAGAAAAATTATTATTTATTTAATAGTCGAGTGTTTGGTTTACGAGTATTAACATAAATTTTACTATAACTAATATTATAATACCAGGTATTTATAAACAACATATTAAATATTGATCATCACTTTAGTTAAACATATATTCCTTAACATTTTTGAATAATTAATACACAAAAAACTATCGCTAAATACCAGTGTCTACGCAAATTCACTCAGAACTCTGGTTAAACGTATTATTGGCCAACACTTGAGCATTGGATTAAGGTTTGTGTGGTTTATAAAAACTATGTCTTGTTTTTAAAACATCTCATTATTTAAATAAGTTTTGGTAAGAATTATTTGTAGTCTATGAAGGAATCGGTTGTCTAAATCTCTATTATATTTTCTTATCTATTGTTTTGTTAGTAAGTATTAGTTTACTAAAAGTTTGTTAGAAGTTTAATTTAAAATCAATTTTCACAATTGTTTTGAATTTATTTTGAATGATTAGAAAATGAATGATTTGGTGAAACTGTTGGTGGCGTTTGTGGTGTTGGTTGTGATCCAAGTGTCCAAACAAGAGGACGAGTCGACACTCATTGCATCGGATTGTATGCGATGTCAGGCAATGGAGAGACAGTGCGCGGCAGTACTGGTGGACAAGCGG